TTCTCATATAGTTAGAGTTACTGTAGAATCCGCTTAGAACAAGTTTTATTGGCTGTTTTTAATGTAGTTTCGAATGAGCTATAGTATATCAAAATAAGTTATGTATTCGCGGAGAAACACCCCTCTAAGTCTTCCATGTCCCAAAAATATTCAAAAAATTTTTTTCAAAAATTTTCTCATATAGTTAGAGTTACTGTAGAATCCGCTTAGAACAAGTTTTATTGGCTGTTTTTAATGTAGTTTCGAATGAGCTATAGTATATCAAAATAAGTTATGTATTCGCGGAGAAACACCCCTCTAAGTCTTCCATGTCCCAAAAATATTCAAAAAATTTTTTTCAAAAATTTTCTCAAATAGTTAGAGTTACTGTAGAATCCGCTTAGAACAAGTTTTATTGGCTGTTTTTAATGTAGATTTGAATGAGCTATAGTATATCCAAATAAGTCATGTATTCGCGGAGAAACACCCTTCTAAGTCTTCCATGTCCCAAAAATATTCAAAAAATTTTTTTCAAAAATTTTCTCAAATAGTTAGGGTTACTGTAGAATCCGCTTAGAACAAGTTTTATTGGCTGTTTTTAATGTAGTTTCGAATGAGCTATAGTATATCCAAATATGTCATGTATTCGCGGAGAAACACCCCTCTAAGTCTTCCATGTCCCAAAAATATTCAAAAAATTTTTTTCAAAAATTTTCTCAAATAGTTAGGGTTACTGTAGAATCCGCTTAGAACAAGTTTTATTGGCTGTTTTTAATGTAGTTTCGAATGAGCTATAGTATATCCAAATATGTCATGTATTCGCGGAGAAACACCCCTCTAAGTCTTCCATGTCCCAAAAATATTCAAAAAATTTTTTTCAAAAATTTTCTCAAATAGTTAGGGTTACTGTAGAATCCGCTTAGAACAAGTTTTATTGGCTGTTTTTAATGTAGTTTCGAATGAGCTATAGTATATCCAAATATGTCATGTATTCGCGGAGAAACACCCCTCTAAGTCTTCAATGTCCCAAAAATATTCAAAAAATTTTTTTCAAAAATTTTCTCAAATAGTTAGGGTTACTGTAGAATCCGCTTAGAACAAGTTTTATTGGCTGTTTTTAATGTAGTTTCGAATGAGCTATAGTATATCCAAATATGTCATGTATTCGCGGAGAAACACCCCTCTAAGTCTTCCATGTCCCAAAAATATTCAAAAAATTTTTTTCAAAAATTTTCTCAAATAGTTAGGGTTACTGTAGAATCCGCTTAGAACAAGTTTTATTGGCTGTTTTTAATGTAGTTTCGAATGAGCTATAGTATATCCAAATATGTCATGTATTCGCGGAGAAACACCCCTCTAAGTCTTCCATGTCCCAAAAATATTCAAAAAATTTTTTTCAAAAATTTTCTCAAATAGTTAGGGTTACTGTAGAATCCGCTTAGAACAAGTTTTATTGGCTGTTTTTAATGTAGTTTCGAATGAGCTATAGTATATCCAAATATGTCATGTATTCGCGGAGAAACACCCCTCTAAGTCTTCCATGTCCCAAAAATATTCAAAAAATTTTTTTCAAAAATTTTCTCAAATAGTTAGGGTTACTGTAGAATCCGCTTAGAACAAGTTTTATTGGCTGTTTTTAATGTAGTTTTGAATGAGCTATAGTATATCCAAATATGTCATGTATTCGCGGAGAAACACCCCTCTAAGTCTTCCATGTCCCAAAAATATTCAAAAAATTTTTTTCAAAAATTTTCTCATATAGTTAGGGTTACTGTAGAATCCGCTTAGAACAAGTTTTATAGACTGTTTTTAATGTAGTTTCGAATGAGCTATAGTATATCCAAATAAGTTATGTATTCGCGGAGAAACACCCCTCTAAGTCTTCCATGTCCCAAAAATATTCAAAAAATTTTTTTCAAAAATTTTCTCATATAGTTAGGGTTACTGTAGAATCCGCTTAGAACAAGTTTTATTGGCTGTTTTTAATGTAGTTTTGAATGAGCTATAGTATATCCAAATATGTCATGTATTCGCGGAGAAACACCCCTCTAAGTCTTCCATGTCCCAAAAATATTCAAAAAATTTTTTTCAAAAATTTTCTCAAATAGTTAGGGTTACTGTAGAATCCGCTTAGAACAAGTTTTATTGGCTGTTTTTAATGTAGTTTCGAATGAGCTATAGTATATCCAAATATGTCATGTATTCGCGGAGAAACACCCCTCTCAGTCCTAAAGAAACTTAAATAGACTAGCCTAAGAAATTCTCGGCTCCCAAAAAATGATAGATGACGGATGACACGATGATGGACACAAGTAGCTGAGTTTTTACTCAACTCTTTAATTACAATTTTTTTAGCTAATAAGTTTCAAATAATGGTTAGTAATCAAAAGGCCTACACTAGTGCCTAAAACAATAGAGCAAAGGTAGGTCGGAACATTCAGAGGTGTGGGAAATCGGAAGAGCCAGAAATTGGAACTTGCTGAAAAGACGGAACTTGGAAACCAGAAATAAAAATTATTTCGGAAATCGGAAGGAAAAAACATCGGAAATCCGACCCTCCTCTGCACTAACGCCAACTAAGAGTTTTGTTTACTTTGAAGTCTTCTAAATATAAAATTTATTCAAATTTTTAATTAAAAATTATTTTGTATAGTTAAAGAAATATTTAATAATATCACAAAATAAAAATTAATATAAACCACATCCCTGCAGATTGTTTTGAATAATCAAGTCGATGACAGAATCAAGAATGAGCTGGACCTAAATAAAATCGTTTAAATATACAGCTTCCTAGTATATTTCATAAGGGATTCGAACATCCCACAAGATTATGTAGAGGTAGAGTTGTCTGGAATTTGGTACTCGTTTCATAACTGAATCGACGAACAAAAATATTTTTCTTTAGGTTCTGGATAATCAAGGATTTCCAGATAATCAGCGCCTTAGTCTCCGAGCTATCTGAGACTATCCGAAAGTTATGGATAGTTCTAGCGATTTTCCAAAATTATTTATGAACTTACCGTATTATCTCTAATAGAATGCCCGGGCATTCTATTTTTCAATCACCTTCCAAAGGGGCATTCTATTAGAGAGGGGCATTCAAATGGAGGGGGGCATTGTATTTTTCGATGACTAAATTTTAAAGTTTGAAAAAATTTTTATCAAAAATTTTTATCTATAATATAAAATAGAGTAAGTCGAGTTCGAGCGAGTTCGAGTTACTCGACTCGACCGCTCGGTTTTTTTGCGTAATTACTCGACTCGGAACTCGGGATAATAATACTCGGATTACTCGAACTCGGAAAATTCCTACTACGATTAAAAGTGAATATGTAGTAAACGTTTTAAATATAAATTGTAATATCTTTTTTATTTAGAAAAATTTCAGCAAAAAAAAATGGGGGGGGGGGCATTCTATTAGAGGGGGCATTCAAATGGAGGGGGGCATTGTATTTTTCGATCTTCCGCTAGAGGGGCATTCAAATGGAGAGGGGCATTCTAATAGAGATAATACGGTATATACAAAGGAGTCTTTATTTAACGACACCCAAAGAGTGGCAACCTACTGTCCCACTTGGGCGCGCCGTTGAATTGGGTAACATAATAAAGAGACACAGAAAAGTGTGCCATAATAGAGAAATTTTTCTATAATTTATTTACTTGATTAGTATCAGTAGCACAAGTTTGATGCATATAAAGTGTTTTGTCAGGATTCGCATTCAATGCTTCGAATTTTTCCTCGATAAATTTGACTTGTTCTTCGTAAGAGTCAGAACCTTAAATTGAAATTTATACTGATTTAAAAAGAAAATTGAGTTGAAATATGAATAAGTGTACATAATATTTGATATTTAAAATATTAACAGATATACATATATTGAGAATTGAATGTAAAACATGGTCTCAGGAGATGAGCTGCGTAATTTTTTGGAAGTCAACTCAATTTGACTAATTTTTCATTTCATTGTCTCTAATTACATATGTTAGAGTTTGAGTGTGTTTAGAGGTTTAGAGGGTGTACTGGATTAGATTTTTTGCGAGTCGGAGCTAAACTATGGCTAGTATGACTAATTTATATAGATAGCTTTTAATTTTGAGTTTCAAGCATAGACCGGACTGACAGTGACGTACTAGAATCGAGATCTCGAAAAATTTTCGCTCTCGATAACAGATTTTCCATCGAGATCCCGCTCGGTCCGATCTGTAATTTCAAGTTAGTTTGTTTAAATAGTGTAACCTAGGTCAATCTCTAGGTTACACTATATCTTAATAATTGTTTAAGAATTGATTAAAGATAAGTAATTCTGTTGATCATGAGCCATATCATCGGAACTTCTTCATTTTTTGGAAGTCAACTCAATTTGACTAATTTGACATTTTATTTCATAATTCTTCATGATTCCTAGTAAAACAAGCATACAAGAGAGTTTTAGTGTTTCGGTTTTTAGTCAAGAGTGTTTATCTGCCGTCGATAATCACAATTTCCCCAAGAACCAACCTCAATTATACTTAATAATTATTTATAAATTATAAAGATTACAATAATCGTTGAATGTGATTGAGGTATCTTCTTCGTTTTCTTAGTTTTATTTTTGGGAGCCGAAGCTTGCCTTTGGCTAAACACTTGGTTTTGGGTCATTTGTCTGTGGGTCTTCTGGGTCGACACGATCCCTACTTTACACAATATCTTAATAATTGTTTAAGGATTGATTAAAGTATACGTAAATCGGTTGACTATGTCCGGTTATAAGATTATTGCTGTTTTTCATTTTTTGCGAGTCAAAGCTTGACTTTGGCCAAACATTTGTGGCCGTAAATTTCTACCTTGAAATTTTTAAGAACTTCCCCAAGAACCGACCTCAATTTTACTTAATAATTGATTATAAATGATAGAAATTATAATAATTGTTCTAATGTGGTTGAGGGACGCAGCTTCTGGTTCTGCATTTGTCATTTTTTGGGAGCCAAAGCTTGACTTTGGCTAAACACATGTTACCGTAACTTGTATCGGTTTAGAATTTTCAAAAATCCTCTTTACCTTTATAATCATTGAAGCAAACTTTAATTGTTTTCCTTTTAATTTTTTCGATAAATAAATCAGTCTTGTTGAGAAAAACAATCATTGAAGTATTTATGAACCATCTAGAATTGCAAATACTTTCGAAGAGGCGCATTGATTCTAACATTCGGTTCTGGAAAATTCAAGTTTAAAATTGTGCAAAGAATAGTTGAGAGATAGATCGAGGAAAATAAAAATTAATTTGTCAACGTATAATTTGACATCAAAAAAATTTAGCTTTCAAAATGAGTGAACTGATCCACTTTTGTAGGTCAACCCGCCAAACCTCCCTTTTCTGATATTAATCTATAAATTTGATAGATATAATATATTAAAATTCAATCTATTCATAAGTATTAACTTTTAAATGATCTTTGCTTAGTGTCGTTTTCCGCCGTAATTTTTTGGAAACCCATGAGTACTGGGTTATAACGTGTATATTAATTTAGGTTTATCCCTCGGCATTTTTTTTCCACACACTAGGAATCTAGAGTAAAAAAATAAACCCAAAAAAATTTTACCGTAGCCTCATCTTCGAACAAAACTTGATCAAATTCGCTAATTGCTGTAATAAAAATGATGGAATTTACATTCTCAAAGCAGTGGATCCATTTTTTCCTTTCCGATCGCTAAATATTTTTTTAAATATTTTTAAGAATTATTTTTTAATTCCCAACTTGTCCACCAACATCAAATACCAAAAAGTCAACAGTTTTCATTTTGAAAGCAACCTAAATTTAAAATTTTTAAATAAATTTGCTTAATATTAAATAAAAAATTAAATGTTATATTTTTGGATGAAGCATATAATTTAATTCTTGCATACAGTGACACATCTTGTGTATTTTTGGAAGTCCTAGCTGCTGCTAAGATTAAATTTTATTATACAGGCAGGACTTCTAAGGTCATAACAGAAAAGTACGTGATGTACTGAAAAATGTATGCAAACCAGGGCTGTGCGCAAAAATTTTCGCGTGGCGCGCCAAACGCCAATTTTTTAAATTTTAAAAACACGCCAAACGCCAAACGCCAAAAATCGGCCAAAATCAACGCCAAACGCCAAAATTTTTAGAGTCTATAAAGACTTAAAAACCACTGTTCATCTCATTTTAGCGCCGCAGGCGAAATTTTTTGAATTTTCAAGATTCCCAGAAGCCAGAATTCATCCTTTTTTGCCGCCGGAGCGAAATTTTTGAGAATTTTGGAGTCAAAGATGCTGAAATTCATCCTTTAAAAAATTTAAAAAAAATAAAAAAATCCATAGAACTCCTTGAGATTAAGGTGGATATGAAGGGATAAAGGGAGTAATGAGTATAACAGAGGTCATGAAGAGAGTAAACGATTGACGGGACTAAAGTTTTTTTCTACCATCTATTAGTTTAAGATCCTCCTTTAAGCGCCGTAGGCGAAAATTTTGAAAATTTTGGAAGTCCAAGCAGTAGATTTATTCATTTTTTATGCGCCGCAGGCGAAAATTTTGAGAATTTTGGATGACTGTATGCAGAAAAATGTCCTTTTTCGATCAACCCTTTCTCCATTTATTTAAAAAAAATTCCATCATTAGGGGTGTATATTTTTGGCGTTTGGCGCGCCAAAATCGGAAAATCACGCCAAACGCAAAACGCCAAAAATCGGCCAAAATTAACGCCAAAACGCAAAACACCAAACGCCATGACGCACAGCCCTGATGCAAACCATAGACTGTCTTTGGTGGACAAAAGTTAATTCAATTTTGATTATTAGTCGGATCGAGTCGACTTCCAAAAAATTACAACCTCACCAACTCACTGCATATTTTCTCATACTAATTTTCAATATATTTGTGATACTATTTTCAATATTTTATATTATGTACAGCTTCCTGCAATAACTCAATTATGTTTAAAATCTCATCTTGGTCCGGTCTCTAGATACAAGGACGAGTCTTAGTTGTAGCTTCGTATAATGTTATTATTTAGACGAGACTGGGAGGGTCATACATAATAATCTCATGAGGTACATTGAGAAATTTCGATCTGTCTAGGCTAGACTTGCCATGTTGTCAATTATGAATTGAAATTAATTATTAGTCAGCTAGAGATGACTTCCAAAAAATTAAAACCTGCGATGCTCAACACATATCTTCTAACTTTAATTTTTCATTTATCTCAGTTACTATTTTAAATATTCAATAGTATGCAGATACACTTTCTAATATAACTAGAGCTAGAATTTTTAGGTTCATTAGGGAAATTTATTAGGGAAAAACAGCCATTTGCCTAAACCTCTTGGAACTAATAATGACTCAAGTATCTTGCAAATCTCGCTCGGTCCCGTCTCTCGTTTTTAATGGACTCCATTACTTCGGCAACTCCATTATCAAACTATTCCAGTCCTTTTTAATCAAAATTCACCTCGATTATTCCAGTAGTTTTGATCCTGCTTAGAAGAATGTCTTGTTCTGTAGGCCTATAATCTGGGTTTGAAGTACGGTCGATTGCGTCAAGAAAACTGTAAAGTAATTTTTAAATTGAATTGGTTTGCGATAATTAATTTGCTTAGTATTAAAAAAGTAAATTTGATTTTTATGAGAGTTTATAAGTAATAACGACACAGCTAGCGTTACTGCCTGTGTTGACATATTTTTGCAAGTCTTATCTGTTGCTAAGACTAATACCCTATTACAGTTTGTAAGGAGGAGGTCCCTCTTAATTCACAAACCTCTCGACGTCACCCCCAAATCCTTTTGATCCCCGGACTTAGATCTTTATTTCCAAATCCCTCGATATCAGCCTTGATCCTTTAATATCAACCATATCTCTCTCCCAAATCCTTAGACTCGATCTAGATTCTCTCCCAAAGAATGTTTATAGATAAATTAGCCAAAGAGATTCTCGGCTTCCAAAAATTTTCGAACTTCAAATCGAATCGGCCAGCTAAGCTTATTACTTAAGTCTTTTTAATAAATAAAATCCATTTAGTTTATAAGTTTCAAATAATGGCTCGGAAAACATGTGTGTTATGCAGAAGTTTAATTAAACTTACTATTTGCTGTTTTCAACTAATTGAAATTCTTGCCCGCGCGGAAGCACTTTTTCTTTAATATTTTTATCTGCCCAAAGCGCCTTGATTGCTTGTACCAACTCATCCGTATAAGGTTCTGATTCTTCTCCCTTTCTGACTATATCGAGTACAATGCGAGCGGCTGACTGAAAAAATCAAAAATAGTGGAAAATCTGTGTAAATCTTCAGAGAATATTAGAGAAATGATAGCCAAGGTATTCTTGGCTTCCAAAAAATAGCGAAAGAACGAGTCAAAATCGGCTAGATAACTTTGTCTTGTCCGAGATAAATATGTCTTGTTTTTATAATTATTTAATAAGTTGCACGCATACTGTAAGGATTTTTACCTATAAGCATTTAAAAGGTAATATCCCTCGATATCCTGGTAATTCACAAAACCCTCTAAATGTCATCTCCGGACGCCAAATGTGTAGCCTAATTTATGAACTCCAATTTTTAACAAAGTTATATCTCTGTGGTGCGGAGCGCTTGCGTCACGCGAGCCTGCTACCGCAATTAAAATGCTTAGACATGTCGGTTCGTTAAATTATACTTTCGGAATTGAACAAAATAAAAATATCTATTATATCAATTTATTTTTGTTAATTAGTGAATTATTTTAAGCCTACTAGAAGGTCAGAATTATCAATCTTTATTTTTTGGAAGTTGGATTTATCCAGCTAAATTATCACAAAGATTCACTCCCCCTCAAGACAGTGTCTTAGATGTCCCTTAATCCCACGAGATGTCCCTTAATCCCATGTCCCTTAATCCCACGAGACGCATTGCCAGGGCCCGATCCTTAATTAAAATAAGTACCTCTAGTCCTCTATCCCTCTATCCGCCTTAATGTATCAAAATCAACTGATATCTACCTTGATCGCTCGATTCTCTTTAAAAACTCTTAATCCTTCATAATTTCCACAAATTCCTCGATATCCCTGTTGATCCCTACAGATTACCCAGCGTCCCTTAATCCCGCGAGACGCATTGCCACCATTCTTATAAATAAAAATACCTCTAGTCCTTTATTCTCAAACGGTATATTTAATTTAGACATTCCATGAAGTAATGTTGCCATTGCGAGAACTGAAAAGACACAACTATAATTTAATACAAATTTTTAAATTTGCCTGTATTATTATAAACAGCAAATTTTTGTTTTTCCTTTTCTTCCTCGGTAAATCCGTGGTCGTGCAAAATTCTTAAATTAATTTTTTTGATTTATGAGTACAACAAGACTAGTCATATCACTACGCTATGGAATACTACTTCGGGACTAAAGCCCTATTTCGCTTACATTGCGTCGGGCGAAGACGCATTATCATAAAATAGGTTAAAAATTAGAATCGCGAATGCCTAAAGAGGATAATAGAGGCCACGCAACTTCTAGGCCACGCAATGGAATAAATGGGCAAGGAGGGGTGTAAGAAGAACGTGATATGGTGTACTCTAAAGTTGCCATAACAAACTACTTGGATATCATGGATTCGAAAACTATTAATAAAGTGACTCACAAAGGAGTGGGATGTACCAAATAAATTGGACTGAAGTATCTCAAAAGGGAATGCAGCCAATGGAATTGCTAATAGGTATATTGTTTATGTTCGAAGAATTTGAAAGGTATTGAGAATTAAAATAATGAATTATGTAAAGGACTTCTTTTGGTGAATTACGTGGCAGAAATTACAGCACACTTATATTTTTTGGATGCCAGGCAAGGCCTAGGCAATTAAATAGCACTCTCACAGTATGGTCTTTATTTGAAGGGGTAAATTCCAGATGACAGGAATTTGTTTAGGTGTCGGCAGGATTTGAAAGGTGTCAAGTAATTAATATAATAATTTATGTAAAGTACTCTATATTTGGTCAAATTACAGGTCAATTAAGTACAGTGTAATTTTTTGGATGCCAGCAGAGCCTAGGCAATTAGATAGTACTCTCCCAGCCCGGTCTCTATTTGAAGGTATCAATTTTCATTGATCGGAAATTTATTTTGATTTTGACAGGATTTGAAAGGTGTCAAATAATTAAAATAATAATTTGTGTAAGGAACTTTATGATTGGTCAAATAGAAAAGGGAAATTTAGTACAATGTTATTTTTTGGATGCCAGGCAAAGCCTAGGCAATATAATACCGAGATTTAGGGGCCTTCCCTTGCTGCTTTCGTTAAGTTTCTGTTAGAAATAGAGATTGGATTGCGGCGAGTTCTCTAACAAAAAGTTCGGTTATATAGATTCTACAGTGAAGTCTCTATTAGAAAAGTCTATCTTAAAGTCTGTCTTGGAACCATAAATATAAAGTCTTTCCAAGCAAGCCATAAAATTAACATGTCTATTAGACTTCTCGTCGTATCAACTCCCAATGATCCGAAATTTATTGTAGTGTCGGCAGGATTTGAAAGGTGTCAAATAATTAAAATAATAATTTGTGTAAGGAACTTTATGATTGGTCAAATAGAAAAGGGAAATTTAGTACAATGTTATTTTTTGGATGCCAGGCAAAGCCTAGGCAATATAATACCGAGATTTAGGGGCCTTCCCTTGCTGCTTTCGTTAAGTTTCTGTTAGAAATAGAGATTGGATTGCGGCGAGTTCTCTAACAAAAAGTTCGGTTATATAGATTCTACAGTGAAGTCTCTATTAGAAAAGTCTATCTTAAAGTCTGTCTTGGAACCATAAATATAAAGTCTTTCCAAGCAAGCCATAAAATTAACATGTCTATTAGACTTCTCGTCGTATCAACTCCCAATGATCCGAAATTTATTGTAGTGTCGGCAGGATTTGAAAGGTGTCAAATAATTAAAATAATAATTTATTTAAAGAACTCTATAATTTAGGCAAACGCCTATTGTCGGTCCTTCGGTTAATTTTTTGGATGCCTGGCAAAGCTTAGGCAAGTTATTAACAATTTAGAGACATTTAACCGCTCTGATTTAGTATTAGAAGTCTTTTTTAAACTCGGGCTGCAAATATTGAAATTACTAACCTCATTTGCTTCAATATTGTACTCTTTCCGCATTCTCCAGCGCCTAAAATTAATAAAGATTAACAATTTCCTGCTTGAAAAATTCAAAGACTGACCTAACAAAAGCAATTTAACTATCTTTTGATGAGCAATATGAGCCTGAAAGGAAAATTTATTATTACCATTGAATTAGATGCATATTTTTGGGACAGAATTTTGGTATTATGATTAGGTTACATTTTGGTTTTAGCCGGATTTAGGACCGGATTACAAAAATATGAAAACAGCCATAACCCCTCTGCCATAATTTAAGGTTACTTAAATTCTTTTTTAAAAAGAATTAGTTAAATAAATTATATTAAACAAAGTTAGATTTTTCTCATAATTAGATTTTACAGTATTTTTGAATAGTTAACAATTTCTGGTTCCAAAAATTTCTGGTTCCAAAAAATAACAATTTCTGGTTCAAAGACACTTGCTAGAAGCTCACTCTTGCTAGAAGGAGATCGAACTTGCCCTCCTTCTCGTTCGAGGGAGGGCACTTAAAGGAGGGAATTTTGTACAGAATTTTGGTTAGGACAATATTTAGGTTACATTTAGTTTTAGCCGGATTTAGGACCGGCTTACAAAAATAAGATGAAGGAACAATGGAAGCCGTTGGAATAACTTAGTGATTACTTAGATTCTTTTTAAAATAGAAGAAATCATATAAATCATATTAACAAAGGTATCTCAAAATTATATTTTTACCGTAATTTTATTATCTCTATACCTCTTATACTAAAATGATCCACCTTGCCCTCTCTCTCGTTCGAGGGAGGGCTAGTATTCGAGTTTTGAAATTTTACCTTGGGGTAGATCATTTGAGTAAGGTTAGTTGTTATTTCAACCACTTACTAGACAGGTTGATTAATCAAGGCAGTCGATGGAAGGGAGATTAATCAAGGAAATACATTAACCCTTTAAGCTATGTATATTTAAGCATAAATACCTGCAATAAGTCTTTATCAATTTGTTTCGTTTTTGACTCCGACTCTTTCTCTTCTTGGCTTTGGCATATTCCCATTTTTATATTTTTTAATGTTTAGTGTATAGGCTGTCAGATTAATAAGGGTTTTTGCTGTCAATAGAGACTGATAAATTAAATTATTAAAATTCTTAAAAATATAAAAATTAAAAATTGTGGTCTAAAAACGTATACTTAAAATTAGAGATCTGACTGGAACGTGTCCGGTAGTCTCGTCAGAGGACAGTTTCGTCAGAGGTCCTTCTCGTCAGAGACCAGTCTCGTCACTAATTCTGACGAAGATGTCCTCTAACGACACTAATCTCTGACGAGACTACATACAGAGCACCGACTGGAAGGGTCGTAGGATAATCAAACGCGTGGTACATACCAAGTAGGTGCGCGTCCATAAGGCGCAAATATAACTTGCTTCAAGATTTACGAATCTTAACAAATTTAGTATTAAACGATTCCTCTCATAGAGCTAAGGAGATAGGTACCAAAATTAATAAGGAACAAAAAATTTCCAGTTAGTTATGTCTTTGCGCTGTTATGCCCGTGCGCTACTCATACGTGATATCTCAGAAAATCTCAATTCTAGAGAACCGAATTTTATTCGGTTCTCTAGTCTAGCTCCGAGCTCTAATTGAACTTAAACAAAAAATAATGAGTATAAATTGTAGTGGGAAAATAATGAGCATTACCTATGTAATCTTACGGAAGTACGTATGTCTAGGTTAAGTGCAACCCTTATAGGTGAAAAGTATTAAATTTTTTATTAAAATGTATTTATTAATTAATTAGGGGATGTTTAGTATACATGTAATCAACCATTGAATACGCTATATTTTTGGAAGCTGAATCTAGATTCAGCTAATAATATGATTATAAGATTGGGCACTGTATGTCTATCTTAAGTTGAGTACAATCCTAATATTTGAAAAGTATTAAGTATTTTATTAAATTGTATTTATTAATCAATTGGTGTTTAGCTGATTATTGCACAAGTCGTTAAAGTTCATTCTTTTTTTGGAAGCTGAACCTAGATTCAGCTAATAATTTAGTTTTAAGATTGGACAATGATTGAGGTATGAGAATCAAAGGTACGTTATTAATATACCTAACCCACACCTATTTGAGTCTCAGATTAATTTTCCTTTTATTACCATCAATAATTTAGTACCTTGAAACAATTCAAGTATAGGACAAATTGTTAGGAGCGAAACTGAGTTATGTGTTCGAGTGCTATTATCCGTCTGATCGATGGATCAAGGTGGTTAGTTTAAAAAATAGTACAATGATATAATCCATAGCATATCGTATGACTGCCCATTTGTGCATCATAAAATACTCGGGTTTAAGAGTGGTCCTAACGTCTTGATTCCGAAATCGTTAATTAAAATTATCTCAGGAATCTCAATTCGAAAAAATCGCCTATTTATCTTCATTGCCTGAATTATCCCAGTTCAATAAACCGCAATATTTATTACGTAAAACACAAAAAAAATGTTGTTGGCTCTTAAGAATGTTTATTCGTTTTTTGACAGGTTGTTATAAACACCAACTTTACTCGAAAGCTAAAATAATTTTCACAATGTAGTCAAATGCTATGGCAACAATAAATTAATAATTTAGTTTTATGTTAAGGTAAATAAAGAAAAATATATGGTGGGAACAAAAAGTACAGCTGTCATTAATTTAATAATTTAAATAACAGAATTAAGCCAAAAATTAATGAGGATACGTAGGAGGATGTGTGAAAATTAAATTAACACAAAAGAGGTAAAGTGAACTAGAACTTAGTTTAGTTTGTTTCTCTAAGGAGTTGGGTATAGGAAGGAAAGAAGTTGTTACATATAGAGAAGAAGCCGCATGATTGGGGGGTTAGCTGGGGGATGAAGAGGTCGAGTTTATTGTAGTCGAGTTTATTGGGTTTTCTTGTAAATAACGATCTACTTAGTAAGATACTAACGTTATCTTCCTTAGCTTTATTTGTTGAGTCATCGAATCAACATCCAAAAAATAACGTGAACCATAACAGAAGCCCCGCGGGTTTCATAAATATATAAATAATAATAAACATAGAATAATTAAATAATTAATATTGTTAATAGGTCTCGGATAACCCCAATAATCCTACAGTTGACTAGAGTTCTAGTTTCAAAATATAACAGAATCAAGCTTTCTTTTTTGTTCTTAGGTTATGTTCAGGATGTGATTACCCACTTAGAAACTAACGTTATTTCGCTTAGCTTTATTTGTTGAGTCATTGAATCAACATCCAAAAAATATCACAGTAAGCAACATTGGACCATGTTTCATAAAATATATTAATACTAATAAATATAGAATAATCTAATAATTAATATTGTTAATAGGTCGCGGATAACCCCCCTCAATTTACAGTTGACTAGAGTTCTGAGTCGAAACCTAACAGAATCGAGCTTTCTGTTTGGTTCTTCGGTTAGGTTAAGGATTTGGTCACTGTATGAGCAGAAATTCAGTTAAGGGCGTTGAGGAATCATAAAATTTTTAAAGTATGTATACGTCTTGCCTTCCCGAACTTGAGTTTTCCCTATCAATTATTAGATTATTTGGTATTTATTTATATGTCCATGTAGCCCAAAGAATCGCCTTGTTCCAGCGTGCCAACGGCTTATTTTTTGGATGTTGAAAGAGTATTTTCAACAAGCAAAAAAAAACAAACAAAAAGGAAGCTTAAACACTAATTTATTATGAAAGCCAGAAGAGCTGTCTCGTCGCTAATTTCTTGCTTGAAGTTAATGTTGAATTATTTATTCAACTTTCAAAAATAAACAACAACGTTTACAAAGTGATGACAGCATTGAAAGAATTTATATTGAATTAAGTATAGAATAATCTAATAATTAATATTAACTAGAACCCGGACGGCATTTTCAATATTTATGGGTATCGAACCTACATTACTACACAAAAATATAAAAAGTTTTATTTTCTCGATTAATTAAAACTCGCTGATTTGAAGGTTTTTTTGTTGTTGTGTTTTGCGTATTGTCGTTCTAATATTTTTGGAAGTCAAGCAACGCTTAGACTAAATGATATGGTTCTTATTAGCTCGCCGAGATGCATCGAACCATACCAAGGCGTCCCGGATTCGACTATTATGAACGAAGCTATAGCTCTGCGGTACGATGGGCTCTCAGTATACTGGCCTGCTCCCTCTATATGTTAATCAAAAAAGCATTAAAGTAGTTTTCATAAAAATTTTATTCTAACTTCAATATATAAAAATTTAAATTTTAAAATTAAAAATCGTCAACAAAGCCCGTAACCGTGTAGAATTTTTTGTAAAAGCGCATCAATCACGTTGTCAAGTATCAATTGAATCTTAAATTGAAATTTTTTAGTTTTTCTGCTTGATCGCAGCAGGGCTGTGTCTTTATCTACAGAGAACTTTTATCTTAAGCTTCTAATTTAGTCCAAAAATTTGGACTTGCAAAAATATATAGTTTGCATTAAATCGATTACAAGGCAACGTAACTAGTTCAATTTTTAATATATTAGAATAATGGGAAATTATATATCTTTCAAACGAAAGATTTTTCTTTTACGCGTGCTCTTTTGTTTGAATTAAATTTGTTAATTATGTAATCCAAGTATATGATTGGACTTGCAAAAATAAATCAAATCGAACGTGAAGCAACATCAATGGTGTGTTAACTTTTGAACTTTAGTAGAATAATTAAAAATTATGATATATTTTTCAGACAAAGAAGATTTGTCTTTGACACTTCCCTACGGTTGGATTAATAAAACACATTGTAAAGCATACAGCTATTTAAGTCCTAAGGCTATGCAGTAGGCGGCGTGGTGTAACGTTTAACACATCAGTCCGGTCTACTGAAGATGCTGGTTCGCTTCCATGCAAAAGGTCCGCCGATTAACCTTTTGCACTAGCTAAAGGAGAGAAATAGCTATAGCGCAGCTGCTTTACTAAATTGTACAATTTAATTACCTGATTAGTATCTGTAGCACAAGTTTCGTGAATATAAACAGTTTTGTTTGGATTGGAATTGAGAGATTCAAATTTTTCTTCGATATATTTGACTTGGTCTTCATATGAATTTGAACCTTTTAAATTTAAAAACTGAATTTGAAACATATTAATTAATTTAAATAAAAAGTGATTAAATATGTATAGGCATTTGGATGTCAATTATATGACACCATTGTTTCCAGCGTTATTTTTGCAAGCCGAGAATTTACTCTGCTAATATAAAGCTTAACATTTTCCCTTCTTTCTCAATTGATTTAACACAATCAAATTAGTTTCCTTACTACTCGGAGCCAAATCATTACCCAAGTCTGTAAAAATGAAAGCGAATATAAACAAGCAGAAGGCCGCTGTTTATTCCCTGCTTCGTGGGTAACGCTAACTTGACTCTTACAAAATTGGATACGGTTGCCGGGTAATGGCATCCAGATTCGAATAACCCGAACTTTTGTTCTGATATCTGTAACAGAACAAAAGGACCTTCCAATTCTAACTGAGGATACGCTTTTAAATCTGTCACCATATTTCTCTTAAATTTTTCTTAGTGATATGATACGTATCAATTATAATTGTAAGGATAGTGCTAAATACATAACAAGACTTTACCCGATGGAATCCAATTATTTGTTTCGATGTTTTTTTTATTTTTGTAAGCCGAGAAATAACTTTGGCTAATTGGTTTGTCTTTGGGTATGAACAATTAAATCTATTATTGGACAAAGAGTAAAGCGATACTCCAAAAATACCAAAAGTTAGGAAGAACTTGTTGAGAGCTCTCCCATGTTTATTAACAGCCCAAGTGTAAGGGTAGCGTAAGCTAATATAAAAAGCCAGTGTTTTAGATGTCGTGTGTGTTAGTCAGTTGCAGTTGTCCGTCTTATTCCGTAGTCAGACTATATTCTACTCCAGTGCATAGTCTCGCTTATTCTATTGTATTGTTACCTTCGTGATAAGCCTTGTTAGTTAGTCTAGTCTTTCTGTTAGTATCGGACACCTCGCAAGTCGATGCACAACATCAACCAGACTACCACCGTCTAATCGTTTTCATTTTCGCTTAATTGTTAGTGCTGGGAGGATTCTTATATGGCTCTCTGATTCGAGCTTTTTAACCGCTAGCCATCCCATCAATAACTGATCGTTTATCAAGCTTTCTATAAACAAGAATAATTTACCCATATAATTTTTGAATAGGCATTGAATTGAAGTTGTTTTAATTTTTTCTTCGAATATATCTTTTTTGTTAAGGAAAAGAATCATTGCTGTATTGTAGAACCATCTTGAATTACAGACTGAACGAAACAAACGCAGGGATTCAATCATTCGATTCTGAAAATAAATTTTACTTAATATTAATTATTTAGTCCACTATTGTGGACTTACAAAAATAAAAATGGAAGAATTTATCGAATACATAGCAAGTACTATTATTAAAAATACTCTTATATCTAATAAAAATATAATAATATATAACTTATAATATGCTATTTCACTGAGTGCGAGATGGTATCGTAGTGGGACGTTTGGGGACGGACCTTTGAGGACTAATATTTGAGGAATGCCATTTAAATAAAATAATACAAGTACATATTTTAAAACAGAAATCATCCCATATTAAGTACTACGGGTAGGTTTTTCACGAACATGGGGAAGTTGTGTCAACTGTAACAACAAATTCGCGCACTTGTGGCACAACTTCCTCGTAGTATATAATTTGTGATGATTCTATCATCTAAGCCCTTTTAATAAAAATCCAAACCGTTCTTGTATCCTCAAACAGCACTTGATCATATTCACTTAATGCAACTACGAATATTATGGCATGAACGTCCTAAATAATTTTAAAAATTTGGAGACTTTAAATCCCAATTTTACGTCAAAACAATGAATCCACTTTTTCCTTTCACTTCTTTGCCCGCCAACATCAAAAACGCGAAAATTGACACCTTTGATTTCGAACTTTACCTAAAATAGAGGCAATGAATGTATTGTTAATTGCTAAATATGAAATTGCCGGGCTAGGCATGGCTACGGGAGCTGGCTCTGGTGTCACATTGGTTGTAGATTTAATATGGTATTAGCTTTTAATAATTATTTACTAGAGCCCGGACTGAGGGGTCGGTATATAAATTTAGACATATATCTAAAAATATCGGAAAAATATCTTATCAAGCCTGGCTCTATGTACTATTTACTAGTCTTAGGATATAAGACTTACAAAAAATAATCAAGAAGTCACAGAATGAAGCTAATAGAAGCTTATCGTGAAGATAATTTTAAAATGATTTATATTTTCATAAAATTAATACGGTGCATTTAGTTGATTAATACAGTGCATTTAGCCCGCGCCCGCAATCCCGCACTTTTTTCGTTTTGCGGGATATTAAGGGAGTGCATGATTTTGCGGGATTAGTCCTGTAAACGTCTTTAGAAGTTACTCCCGCATATTGGATCCCGCAAATACGATTTTACCGGTCCCTAGCTGTCAGAAAAATTTTTTAACCTCAATAATGCCAGTAGTAGTAATTCTAAGCATTAGAATATCTTGAGTTGTTGGCACATATGTATGAGCAGTTATTCTGTCAAGTGCGTTGAGAAAACTGGAAAAAATTTTAAATAATCACCCTTCCTTCCCGACATGATTCCACAAAATATTAATTATTATATTAATTTTCAATTTATTAACCCGTCAGAAAAACTACTGACTGAGCAGTTGTTTTCTAGTTATGGTGTATTTTTGGGTGTTGAATAAATAATTCGACAAATCTAGAACTGACTAATTAACGTTTAATCATGCTCCGATATGTGCAGATTTTAGCCATGTTGTGTTTTTGATAGGCCGATGAGGATTATTTTTAAAAATGCAGATTTGAGAATTTTTCTGGTCTTTTGAAGATTATGAGGATTTTTTTTACATTTTCTTATAGTATTGTTATAAAATTGTCATTTTTTCTCTTACGGCCATCCAAAATCGCCATAACCGAATCAACCTTTCTGTATGATTCTTAGGTTAGGTTCAGAATTTGGGCACATCTGTGTGAGCAGTTATTCAGTCAAGGGCGTTGAGGAAACAGTAAAATTTTTAACGAATACTTCTACCCTTTCAGAACATGAGTTTCCATATCAATTATTAGATTATTTGGTATTTATTAATTTGTCCATGTAACACTAAAATCGAATAAATACGGTCCTGTTGTTATTTTTTGGATGTTGAATATTTTCAACAAATATGTAAGGTAAGAAAAAGACTAACAAAGAGGGATTCGTCATAAACACTAGTTTATATGCGAGCCCGAAGATTAAATTATTAGTTGAATTCCCGATTCAACTTCCAAAAAATAACAACCCGCATCTGCGCTCAACCAAATCTTGTATGTATACATTAAATTATGTATAAGATAATATAATAATTAATATTAAGTATTGAATGAGAGTTGACACCGGATACTCGCGCAGAACTTCAAACAATCATAATTGACTCACTTTAAGATACCCCTCCCCCAGCATTAGATACTCCTAATTAGAATTTACGATATTTATAACCCCAAAGATTATCAGTTTAAAAATGATTCGCCTAAAATAAAACGCCTAGAGTGGAGTTAAACCATTTATAACCGAAAGTAAAACAGAGCTGAGTTATAACGAGTTCACTCCCTCAGCTAGTACTAAAGGTTAATCGGCGCTGGGAGCGAACCAGCATCTTCAGTTGACCGGACTGATGTGTTAGCCATTACACCACGCCGCCTACACCACATCCTAACGTGTAAGCTGCAAGGAACTACAAGAAAATGACAAAAAATCCTCATAATTACAAATGACCAAAAAATCCGCATTTTTAAAAATAATTCTCATCGACTTATAAAAACACAATTGAGGAAAAATCCACACATAGTATAAGTGTGTTTGTATATTTAAACAGGGATGGGCCGGGATCAGAAAAAAGTCGGTTAGGATTAGTTGAAATTTGAAAATGAAGCCAGATTTTTTGGAGCTGTTGGGGATATCAGATTTTTAGGGGTCACGATATCAACACACACTCCAACAGAACAACTTTGTTAAAAAATTTAGTTGAATTCTCGATTCAACTTCCAAAAAATGACAACACGTTGGACGACCTGTTCAAATGAAGTTTATATCGGCATTAAATTAGGTATAAAATAATCTAATAATTAATATTAAGTATTGAACTGAGTTAAACCTTTTATACTCAAACTTGAGAAAAATTAATTTTAAACTCACTAAGGACAGCTCTCGTTAAAATTGAATTCATTCCCTCTAGGAGCTATTTCCTTTTGAATAATTGGATCTGCCCAAATATTTGCAATGGCATTTTTCAATTCTGGATGAAGTTTAATCTTCTCGTCGTTCCGTTTAATTATTTCAGTCACTCTATCGGCACAATCCTAAAAATAATTTTTTAATTAGTTCAAGTTATGTTTTAATAATATCAAATTTTTAATTAACCCCATCCATAAAAGAAGCTTGGATTTTCTTTAGCTATGAGTTTTGCCTTTGCATCTGTTTTGTTTTATTTTTGTAAGCCAAGCATTGCTTAGGCTAATATAGTTGGTTACATGCTTATGTTAGTATAAAAGGCCAAGGCCGTTTCAGTCTCGACAAGCTCGTCAGTATTAGAGCCTCCCCCTTCCTATAGTCACTCTGACTTTGGAGGGTACCTGCATTGTAACCTTTCTACTTTAGACTTCCGGGTATCAGAAAAAGTAAAAAGAAGCCGACTCAACCCATACATCTTCTACATTACTTTTTTCAATGTCTCTTTTCGAACTTTGTGACTAACTATTATTCTGACTGATTCTTTCCTTAGCTTATATTCTAGAATATATTTGCTATTAACTGGCGCTTCAATTGTAAGGTTACATTATTCTTTCTCAACGCATTTCCGTTTACTTTAATAATCTAGTTTTAAAAAATAGCAAATTTTACATAATTTAATTTATAAGTGAAGAGAATTTTTAGGCAAGTAACATCTTATTTTTGTAAGCCGTGCTTTGCACAGGCTAATAAATGTGCTAAAGGAAAATTTCACGTTTATCCTACATTGTAACCTTTCTACCTTGGGCCCGCTTATTTTTGGAAGACGATTTTTATTTAGGATTATATGCCCCTATTTAAATAACACCAAATGGAATGGAAACTGCGCCTGTTTTTGCTCCGTATCTTAAAAATTATTAATTTAAGGATAAAAATTAAGCTATATAGTAAATTATAAATCAAGGGAAATAAATCGCTTTTTCTATTTTTGTAAGCACAATCATTGCTTGTGCTATTATTTCAAATCTCTAACCTCTATTTCCTTTGTAGAATATCTCAATTCCATTTTCTGCATTGCTATTATTAATGATTCCACTCCGCTTAATATGTTTCTATATATTGCCTGTCTCCGTTCTAGCCTTTCCACTTCGTTATAGCCGTTGTCATGGATTATTCTGTTTTTTAAAATTAATTTTTTATGCTTTGTGTTCGATCTTTTGTTGACTTTATTGAGTTAAATGCTCCGATACCTAGATGTACAAAGGGAGGGACCTAACACATTTTTAAAGGAAGAAGACCCAACTGCATTGTACCCCAACTGCCCCAAGATGTACACCACCTAGATGACATCCACTTGTTTTTTTTATCAAACTCACTTCATTTGTTTAAGCAGTGTACTTTTGCCACCCTCGGCAGCACCTTAACAAAATTAAATAATAGATTCTTCAGATTAATTAGAAATTTTTCAGACTTGCCTAAAAGCAGTAGCTTTACAATTTTCTTTTGAGCCTCAAAATCCTGAAAATTTTAATGAATTACAGAAAAGAAAAAAATATTATAATGAATGGAAGACCCGATTGGTTATTAAAAATGCCTAATAGGCCGGAGGTTTAATATCTAGTAAGAGAGGTCGAGACCAGCACCCGCTACAAGCTCAATTGTCAGCTGCCAAGAAAAAACTGGCAGAGTGACATAATCGTTGCCTATCTGACTAATCATTTACTCTGCTTTTATAGCTATGGACGTGTCCAAGCTTACAAAAATAAAGGCGATTATCTGGTTCGACTCTAATACTTGTACTTAATTTTCCTAATTTATTTTAATAATTATAAACTAATTGGTATTAAGGATAATTTGATACATTAATACACCCATGTCTTAGAAAATTACCAAATAGAAATTCACCAAAACACTACCATTTAGTTTATAATTTTTCTAATCATAGATCTTTGTTTGAAAACTTGTGCACGTGGGTAACTAATGGAGCTTCAAGTTTATTAACAAATTATTAGAAAATAAGGTGTCCATATTCCATAGGTTTATAATTGAGGAACATGACATGCCTTCGAGAACCGATCACCCTGCAGTTATAACCAGTCATATGTAGACTTGAAATTTTGAGATAAGGTCACGAACTTTCCTAATAAAATTAGCCCACTCAAACAAAACAAACTCACATCAAACAATTTTTTGTCAAGCTCCCTATTTTTCTGTTGTTCTCCACTTTCACAATTTCCCATATTTAATGTTATACGATTTAAATAATATATATTATGTAAAACTTAAAATAAAATTATACAGAGGGTAACACAAAAGTTTAAAAGAATGAAAAGTACATAGGAAATTGGACAAAAACAAATTAAAAACAAGTAAATATACACAATTTTTTTCGTGCTTAATTTTACAAATTACATTAGTTGAGTCTTTTAATTTTAAAGGCTTAGTTTTGAAAAATCTTAAAAAGTTAACCGATGTTTTTCATCGGTACCGTATACGTATCGTATTTTTTTCAAAATTTTTCCGTACCGTACTCCGTACCGTACTACCAATACGGAATACCGATAAATACCGAAAAATACGGCCGTAGTACGGTACGGTCCGATCTCTAGTTATTATGGTCACGAACTATAACTGTCTCACGAAAAAAATCTGAATAGAATCCATATAAAGCTACTTTATTGGACATCGTTTTCAGATCCGGATTCTACAATTCTACTCTATTAGTTCAAAAAAATAAAATATAGTGTTGCCCTGACTTCCGTAAATCGGTAATTCTCAAAGTTTTGTGTCATACAAGTAGAATCGAATTTACAAAATATAAATTAATTTAATTGTAAATTAGTAAAGTGCATAAAAATATATATGATGTGCTTGGACATGGGTTTCTGAATTCATTTTTTGGAAGTTGGAAAGTCCAACTATAAGTTGCTTGTCATACACTCGTCAGGCTAAATTTTTCCCTTGTACTTCTTACACAGGTACGAGTTCAGCCAGTTAGTTTTATTCAAGCTACTACAATCTAGTCTTATTTCCTATTGTTCAATTTAATGTACTAATTTTGTGATAAAACATAGTTGGCAGTTAGAGTTTCATTGTGTTATTTAACGAGCAGTTCAATTGAGTCCCGGCTCTATAACTCAAGTTCGGGTTGATATTTTTTTCTGTTTTTGGTAATTAGATAAAGCATTAGATGGACTACAACATACCAAAAAATTAAAATTTTCGATTGATTGGTAAAAAAGTTATGATCCATAAACTAATTAATGCCCTTTCCAATGGTACCAAGAGCAAAAAAGTGACCATCGCTTCATAAGTTATAAGTCCGGGACTCAATTGAGGTGTACCGGTTATTGGCTAAACTACAGTTTCCGTACCAGGCTCAGAATTGGACGTTTTATATGTCATTCGAAAGAGCTCGTCGAGCTGAGTCGAACGACACCAATATTTTTCAGCGGAAAAAATTCTGAGCCGAGTTACAGACCCCTAAAGTTCAAAAAACCATAGGGGGGACCAAGCTGTTTTTTGGGGGTGAAAAATTCGAATATGCAAATTATGCCTCATTCGAAAGAGCTCATCGAGCTGAGTCGAATGACACCAAAATCAATGAAATCAGACGTCATTTGACAAAGTTATGACCGTTTGTTTTAGCCCCTTCCACAAGGGTTTCGCGGAAAAAAGTTTTTGCCGCTGCGGAGACTGAATAATTTTGGTGTCGTTCGACTCAGCTCGACGAGCTCTTTCGAATGACATATAAATCGTCCAATTCTGAGCCTGGTACGGAAACTGTAGTTAGGCCCGGTTATTTCTTAGACAAGAAATAACACATCATTGTCTTTTGGCCATAACAAAAATCCAAAGAATGCCTCTATAAGCATGACAATATCTGAAATTTAGGATATCAAATCATTCTATCAGATCGACAACGTCGAACACAGCATTAATTTATATTATTATTAATTAAAATTATATATTAAGTAAAATTTGTATGTAAAATATCTCGCAACTCAAATTAATGGGAAAATATAAAGAATTTTTAAAAGCCAACCAAGCAAACAAATTAATATATATTAAGTACAAACACAAAATATTTGAAATGTGTGACATTTTAACGAAGGCAATTACAATTTTAATTGCGTGCCTTAAAGCAAAGTAAGGCAAATATTGATTGGCACGAGATTTTTACTTTTAAGTAATAACTTGAAAAGCGTGGCAGTTTTAAAAAATGTGGCAGCTTGGCTGACAATTAAAAAGAAATGGGTAGAAGTTAAAAAAATTAAATTACCTAGACCCTTTTTTTCCCTTACTCTTTAATTTAAACTAAGGTGTGGATATCACATAAATGAACCAAGAAAGGGTATGACGTGTTTTATAAATTTCATACAAAGCAGGTAAACAAGGTTAAGAATTACGAGTCGGAATAATCGGCAACGCCCACAATTAGATAATTTAGGATTGGGACATGCGGAAAGACGTGGAGGAAGCGAGGAATTTTTTAAGTCTATTACAGGTTATTTGCTGTAAAATAAACAGCATCCAAAAATAAATCAACTTGTATTCAATAATCCACTATAAAACAAAATTGAACGGATTTGATAAGAATGAAATAATAAAAAAACTAATATTATGTAGATGAGTATTAATATGTACAATAAACTAATTAAACTCACAATTGTTTATTGACAACAACTTAAAGTAGTAAGGCACGAATCGAGAACGATGGCTTTTTAAAATAAAAAATTCAGAAAGGGCTAGATATCATCAGGTTATTTACTGAATAATGTTCAGTATCCAAAAAATAACTCGGAAATGGAAGTGCTCTTCAGACGACAAAATTAAATAGAACGAGCTTAGTAAAAACCGAAATATAATTTAATAAACAAATAGTATGCAGATGAGCGTTATACAAAAACTTTTTTATGCTATAAAATGAATCAAGATTACTTAATTGACAGGAAACCACTTTTACTTATAATTTTTTATCTTGTAAAACAAAAACACCTGTATATTGCACAACGAATAAAATTCTAAATGTTAAATTACTTAATATGAATAATTTGAAAAAATTTTTATTAAGTACTCATTTAGTGATACATGCAATTGTCATATTTTTTTTCGTGTCCTTCGTTAAAAATATATACTTTTATGCAAATTGTGGGGGAAATGTGTGTTCTCACACATTTAACATTTGCGAGAAGCGGAAGTTGTTGTTTATAATTGACTTCAAATTTCAAAAAGCGATATGTTAAATACAAGCTAATTAGTATAAGAGGATATTTTTATTTTTGTTTTACGTCTGACTTTCCTTAATTATAATTTTAGAAAATTTGATAATGTGATTATTTAATTAGATAGAATAAATTAGCAAAGTCACTGATGATATAATCTAAAATAGCATTAAATAAATTGACGAAAGTACAAATTTTAAAAGTTACTATATCTTATGGTATACTTATCGGGTACAGGTCGGGCTCGTAATTTAGATACAATATTTAGTGCCCTTTCTAAAACTGTTTAAAATATTTCATTATCATTTATCACCATAGAGAAAATCCATTTTGAGTATTGGTTTTGTTAAGGTTATCAACTACACCATTTTGTTATCAACTACACCACGCCCCCTACTGCACAACCTTAGGAATTAATTAGCTATATGCTATACCCATTAACCATCGCTGATGGCTTCCAAAAATACAACCACTACAACAGAGCTTCTTCTTCTAGATACAACTCAATAAAAACATTTAAGCATATTTTAATCTAATAAATTATATGTTGTAGTAAAATGACATCTTTACTGATAAAAACACATTTAAGACACATTTAAGGGCCTCGCCATAATATATCCCCAATAATAGCTACACTTTAATCGAAGATACGTTCTTTTGAAACAGCATTGTTAAACCAAGAACACCGTCCCAGCAAATCATCGTTAGGTAAGTAGACTGAAAAACAAAGTCCACTTTACAGAAAATAAATCTGATCTGATGCTGCTCTAATCTTTTCTTAATATTAATTATTTCATTTTCAATTTTATAAATTTTGAAAATTAAAAAATGTATTCGGAATAATTTATATTTAAGTTTTTTTATTTTTGTGAGCTTGAACATTTGTTCATAGTTATCTTTATAAAAATCTAGTCCTTCTTACAGATAGTCTTAATTCACAAATATACCCTATGTTTCTAGTAATTTCCCAACTGTTAATCCTTGATTTCCTATATAACTTTAATTTCCCAAACTGCTCAAGTAAAACTGCTCCATATACAATAAATGAATTATAAATTTACGAAATGAAAAGTTTCGTGCATGTCTGACTGTAACAGAGATATAGACAAATAAATAGACTGTAAGCTAGTATGCAAAAGATTAAATAAAAAACAAAGGAAGAGAAGAAGATCAGTAGAATAGATTTAGAGATTAGACAAAAGTTTATGCAAATTATGTATTATTTCTTTAGTATTAAAGTACATCCCATTGATTTTCTTAAATTTTATAATTTTATTAAATTCAAAGTTTCCATCTCGTTGGTCAACTACCAAATCACTTACGATGCTATTCTTACGATTAACTCTTCGTTGGGCGGCGGCGAACGTTCGCTGGTGCCGAAGGCGCCTTCGTGTGCTTCGTCGCCAGCGGTGGCGAAGTCGCTTAGCGGCGCTTCGCCGAATACGTGCGCAACGTTATCGTGTTGCGCCTGAGCCGCCGCCTTAGGCGCTCTTGGTTGGCCTGCGCCTAAAACCAAAGAAAATTTTGGAAAGAGGGGTCGGTGTTGGGTGGTTGTGGGTCTCTGGGCCTTAACCAATTTTTGGACCGTGGGGGCATTCGTGCCCCACACAAAATCGAGTAATTTCAACATATGTTGAAACAAATTCAAATAACGTTGATTTTTTTATCTAGAGAAAGCAAATAATTAACCTTTTAATAAAATGCGAAATACGAAATTTTTCGCGCTAAAAAATGCGAGAATGCGAAAGATGCGAAACGAGAAAGTGCGAAATAAGCCCAGCCCTGATCCTTAGGCATTTATTTTTTCATTCCCATTTAATTTCAAATACAAATTTAATTTCAAGAAAAAAAAGAAAACAAAGAAAAGAAGAAATAGCAAAGGAAAAAATATAAATTTCATTTTTAGAAAATTGATATTTTGCGATTCGATCTTTTGTTGGACAAACTAATTATTAGAGAAATTAAAAGAAAGCCAAAGTAAGAGCGAGGTAAAAGTTTAATCCCGGGCAGGCTTCGATCCTGAGACCTCCTGGCAGTTGTTGCTAGGCATTAATGCTCACCACCTACAGGTGCTCTACCTACTGAGCTACCGGGACGCTGCTTTCACCTTCTTTTTTATTAGATCTTAAACCCCCGCCTAGTGAGCGTTTTAAATGCTAGGGATCTTTTCTCTCTTTCTCTTCTTTACACCAACAAATATGAAAAATATTATAAATATCTCTGCATTCGTAAATGTTCTCTATCCTGATGTGTACATCGACACATTTAACAAAAAACTTTAGTGACATTTTATAATAATTGAAACAGGCAATAGCAATGTCGTAATAATAGCATCGTTTTTATTCATCTTTATTTATGCCTCTTGGCTAAAAAACTGACTAGATTTTCATAACGATAAAGATAGCTATTGTAAGGCGGATATCATGCTAAAAACACGTGAAGAGCAATGTCGCTCTAGTTAACGGAAGTTATAAAAATTAAAAATGAAATAATTAATATTAAAAAAAATTAGATTAATTCAGGGGTCAGATTCGTGCTTTATTTGAAAGTATTCCGCAAAATCGTAAAAATTTTGTCAATAGGTTTTATCATAGAATTTGTTAGATAAGTCTTTCGCTTTTTAAAGCTGTTCCGGCAGATTCCTGGTAGTTATTCCGGTATTAGCTGGAATTTATAGACAGCCTGATGTACTAGCAATATGTTTATAATTTTTATTCGCTATTAGATACAACATAAATATTTTTCAATTCAAATTCATTAATATAAGTCCTGAAATAACTACTTAATTGCCATAGCCCATAACAATTTGCTTAATTTTTTGGAAGTTGGAGATACCAACTAAAGATCCTTTACTATGTGATATGTTTATTGCTGAGAGTTTGAGCTCATCTCAAAGATATTGCCTCACTATCATATAACCTCCATTGTTGTTATGCGTATAAGGAGGATTCAGTATCGCCGATTCAGTATGTGGGTCATATTTAGGGTCATAACTTTCTTGATTTTCCTCCAATTCGAATAATTCTCATATCATTCGAAAGGTTTCGAGGTGCGGCATGTTCATAATAATAAATTAATCTGATCAGAACATTCTACTAAAAGTTAAAGCCAAATAAAGTGCGAAAATCACGATTGAACTCACTTATTTGGCTGTAATTTCAGTAGGATGATCTGATCAAATCAGTCAGAGGATGTTACATTAAATAGCCATTATATTGGCTTTCAAAAATATACAAACGCCCGACAAGAACTACTTAGTTGAAGTAATCTAATAAACACGTTTAAACATCCTATAATATACTTAAAAACATGGTGTAAATAAATTATTTTTAGGCCATTTTAGAAAAAGAGGAGGAGACGAAAAGCGACGTGACATTGAACATGGTTAAGAAGCAATGTGAAGTATGGGATTTTTTAATAAGCTTGTAAAAGGGTGAATTTAAACGAATATCTACTTAATATTATTTAACTATTTTATTTGTAATTTTAAAATTCTGGAAGGGTAATCCGTTAGCAGTGCATTATGACGGCAATGTTCATTTTTTGGCAGCTTGAACAATGTTCATAGCTATTTTTGGCGTTCATATACAAACCGCAATAAATAAACAAAAACAAATGCAATCAATGATATAATCTCCTTGTTGTAACACTACAAGTCTCCAGCGCTTCAAAAACTTTCGAATTCCTCTCTCCCAAGAGTCTGTGCCGAGTACTGAAGCAATCTTTAATAGATTGCTTCAGAAAAACTAAAATGACATGTTTACTGATAAAAACACATTTAAATGCCTCGCTATAATATATCCCCAATAATAGCTACACATCTATTCTGTGCATTTTATGCTATACCCATTAACCATCTCTGATGGCTTCCAAAAATACAACCACTACAACAGAGCTTCTTCTTCTAGATACAACTTAATAAAAACATTTAAGCATATTTTAATCTAATAAATTATATGTTGTAGTAAAATGACATGTTTACTGATAAAAACACATTTAAGACAAATTTAAGGGCCTCTCAATAATATATCCCTAATAATAGCTAACTTAAATCCAAGATACGTTCTTTTAAAACAGCATTGTTAAACCAAGAACACCGTCCGGACAAATGATTGTTAGGTAATTTGAGTGAAAAACAAAGTCCACCTTATAGAAAATAAATCTGATTTATGCTGCTCTAATCTTTTCTTAATATTAGTTATTTCATTTTTAATTTTTATAAATTCTGAATGTTTAATATACTCGAAGATGTTTACTTTATTAAGCGGTACTTTATTTTTGGAAGCTTGAACATTTGTTCATAGCTAGGGATTTTTATTAGAGATCGGATGGATAGGATATAGCGATGAAAATATCGATATATCGATGCATATATTATCGAAAGAACTAAGGTCCGCTTACTAATTTTTAATGCTATGAAAATTTAATCTTCTTATGTGATAGTCCCATTAGATATAATTTGATGTTTAACGTTGGGGGTAGATTTGATGTGGTATTAGTTTTTAGTGATTATTAAATAGTCTTGGACTACAAGACTTCCAAAAATATCCCAACATAGATCCAAATTCATCGATAATTATTTAATTTTGTCGCGATATAAGATTGTTTTGTTTTTAAAAAATGAATACGGTGTATTTGGTTGACCTATAACTCGTTAAAACTCATAGACCCATTCAACTAAAAGAGCACTTTCGCCTTTAGCTTTTAAAATCTGTTTCAGCACACTTTTGATAGCTTCCCCGGTATTAGACGATTATGAATGCTTATCTCACTGTTTCCTTATAATAGGAATAAGTTTATAATTATTATTTGACATTATTACAACATAAATATTTTTTAATTTAAATTCATTAATATGAGTCGTGAAAAAGCATTTAATTACTTGTTCTGTCCGGATTTAACTTTATTTTTTGTAAGTTGGAGATACCAACTAAAGATCGTTTTACTATACATATGATAGGTTTGCGCAATGAAAGTAGATTCGATCTCAAAAAGGCCCTCACTATCATATACCCCGAATAAGGACGACTCAGATTATAGGTCATCTTTTGTGTCATAACTTTCTTTGTCTTCCTCCGATTCGATAATTCATATATCATTCAAAAGGTCTCGAGACGCGACATCTTTTTAATAATGAACTGATCTGATCTGAACGTTCTACTAAAAGTTAGTCAAATAAATAGCGAAAATCACGATTGACCTCACCTATTCGGCTGTAACTTTGAGTAAGATGATCTGATCAAATCAACCCTGCTTAGTAAAATATCGGCAATTTTAGAGCTTTAGATTGATATAAAAATTATTTAAATCGGTTAAGAATCAAAAAAGCTATGGCACAAAATATGCCCTTGAATACTGAATCGTCTTCTATTCGGCGATATGAGTTATCTGACTGATGAGAGCTAGTGCAAAGGTTAATTAGCGGTTGTGAGAGAACCGACATTTTTAGCTGACAGGACTGATGTGTTATCCATTACGTCACGCCGACTATTGGACAGCCTTAGGAATTCAATAGCTATATATGTTTTACTCATCAACCATCTCTGATGGCTTACAAAAATACACAATATACACCAGGTCTTCAACATCTAGATAGAACTTAATAAAAACATTTAACCATATTTTAATCTAATAAATTATATGTTGTATTAAAATGACATGTTAACTGATAAAAACACATTTAAGACACACTTAAAGTCCTCACTATAATATATCCCCAATAATAGCTCAACTTCGATTCAAGATACGTTCTTTTAAAACAGCATTGTTAAAAAGAACACCGTCCGAACAAATCATCGTTAGGTAAGTAGACTGAAAAACAAAGTACATCTTACAGAAAATAAATATGATTTATGCTGCTCTAATCTTTTCTTCATATTAAATATTTTATTTTTAATTTTTATAAATTATTCTTAATGTTTTAGATGTAATTGTATATTTTTCTTACTGTGGTTCTATATTTTTGGGAGCTTGAACATTCGTTCATAGCTACTATTTTCATTGTTTTATATTCTATTCTTTCTTTGGTGATAGTCTCATTAGAGATGATATCGAAGGATTATAGATTTGGAGTAGTAAGTAGAGTTCGGACGATACCGTACTACAACGGAATTTAAGGTATACTTTATTAGTATTCCGTATCTGTAGTATGGTAAGGAATACCGAACTATGTAATTTTGTATTTTTTCCGTACCGTAATATGGTACAGATAAAAATTTCTCGGTATTTTTGCGTATTTATCGGTGAGCTATAGCCATTTCACTCCTTCGATAGTGCAAAAGGTTAATCAGCGGCTGGGAGCGACCAAAAAGCTCAGCTGACCAGACGGATTTGTTATCCATTACACCAGCTTTTACTGCACAGCCATAGGACTTAAATAGCTATTTGCCTTACATTTATTAACCATCTCTGATGGCTTCCAAAAATATACCGAACATCAAAGAAGGCCTACTTATAGATGCAACTTAATAAAAACATTTAAACATATTTTAATCTAATAAATGATATGTTGTAGTAAAATGACATGTTTACTGATAAAAACACAGGTAAGACAAATTTAAGGGCCTCTCAATAATATATCCCCAATAATATATCCCACTTCAATCCAAGAAACGTTCTTTTAAAACAGCATTGTTAAACCAAGAACACCGTCCGGACAAATGATTGTTAGGTAATTTGAGTGAAAAACAAAGTCCACCTTATAGAAAATAAATCTGATTTATGCTGCTCTAATCTTTTCTTAATATTAGTTATTTCATTTTTAATTTTTATAAATTCTGAATGTTTAACATAGTAGTTACGTGTAAAGGCATTCCCTTGATGTTTTATTTTTGGGAGCTTGAACATTTGTTCATAGCTATTTTTATCGTTATGAAAATCTGGTCCTTACTAATAGTCTCATTAGAGATGATGTCGTAGGATTATATATTTGGTGTATTAAGAGTATATTTGGGGATTTGTGTTGTGTATTGACTTGCGGTGTGTCCGATACTAACCGGAAGTCTTGACTAACAACAATTGTAAAGCTATATGCTTTACAATAGCGAGAGCTGGTCTATAGCCCATTAGAGATGATACAGAGGATTAAGAGGATATT